TGAACACATTACTCTGAACATGTTCTAACTAGAGCAGCCTACATCTGAACTAAGACCTCTAGTATTGTTCAGTCATTTTCAGTCATGTCCAACTTCATGACCCCATTTGGAGTTTTCTTGGCAAAGATACTGGAGTGGTTTGCCATTTCCTTCCCTAGCTCATTTTACAGATAAGGAAACTGAGGCAAATAGGGTTAAGTGACTTGCCCAGGGTCACACACCTAGTAAGTGTCTGAGGCCAGATATGAACTCAGGAAGATGAGTCTTTCTGACCCCAGGACCAGTACTCTATCCACTGTACCATCTAGCTACCTGCAAGAACTCTAGTACTGGCTATTTTTCCTGTCAATGAAATAAGAATTAGCATTACTGGTGGCTAAATCACACTGTTGACCCAGTTTTTTATGAACTCATGTCTTTCCCATCTGTGAAATTCATTTGAAAAAGATCAGGGGGTTTTAATAGACTTCAAGTTCAACATAAGTCAACAGTGTGACATGTTAGTTAAGAGAGCTAATGTAATCAAAGGTTGAATTAAGAATGGCAGTATCTAGTAAGAAGCAATGTGATAAATTCTGATCAGACTACAGTTAGAATAGTGTGTTAATTTCTGGGCACCACATTCTAGAAGGACATTGATCATACTGAGCGCATCCAGTGGAGGGCAAGTAGGCTGGCAAAGGGCCTTAAGTTTACATCAAAAATCATCTAGGGATACTTAGCTTACCAATCCCTAGCTCTCCTGCCTTTTGTAGCAAAATTCCCTGAAATAACTTTCAATAGGTTCCTCCATTTCTCTCCTTTCATTCTTTTTAACTCTACAGTTTGGTTTCTGACCTTATCATTCAACCAAAATTTCTCTCTCCAAAGTTACCAGTGACCTCTTAACTGCCAACTCCAATGGCTTTTTCTCAATTTTCAACCTTCTTAACCTCCCTGCAGCCACTGACACAGTTGATCACCCTCTTTTCTTTGATACTCTCTTCTCTAGATTTCTGGGACACTATTCTCTCCTGATTTTCTTCTATAATGTGACCACTCTGTCTCCTTTGCTGGGTCTTCATTTGGGTCATGTCTGCTAACCACGGGCATCTTACAGAACTCTGTCCAGGGCCCTCTTCTTCCTTCTTCCTCTCTACTATTTCACTTGGTGATCTTATCAGCTCCCATGAGAATCAATGATTGTCTCTATGCTAATGATTCTCAGATCTAACCTCTCTGCTGACCTCCAATCTTGCATCTCCAACTGCCTCCTCAACATCTTGAACAAGTTGTCCTGTTGACATCTCAAACTCAACATGTCCCAAACTGAATTCATTAATCTTTCCCTCAAACTGCCCTATTTCTGTCAAGGGCACCACTATCCACCCAGTCCCCCAGGCACACCCCAGAAGTCATCCTTATCTCCTCACTCTCTAGTCCCACATATCCAATTTGTTGCCAAAGCCTGTTGATTTTACTTTTGCAACATCTCTCAAATACGCTCTTTTCTCCTCTGATACTGTCACTACCCTGGTGCAGGCCCTCATCTCCCTTGTTCTTCCTACACCAATGTATCCATTTAGCCACCATAGTGATTTTCCTAAAGCCACAGGTCTTACCATGTCACATATTTCCTTTCCCCCTGATAAACTCCAGTGGTTCCCTATCACTTCCAGGATCAATTGAGAAAGCCTCTGTTTGGCATTCAAAACCTTTCATGACCCTGGACACCTCCCCCACCTTTTCAGTCTTCTTACACTTTAACCAGGTCTCCCACTCCCATATTTGATCCAGTGCCGCAGCCTTTCTTTGCTGTTCATGGAACAAGACACTCCATTTCCCCATCTTTTTCTTTCATTTTAAAAGTATATTTTATTTCATTATTTCCAAATTGCACGTAAAAAAATTTAACATTCATTTTTTTAAAAATTTTGAGTTTTAAATTCTCTCCATTTCCCCATCTTCTGATTCCAGGCATTTTCACTGATATTCCCTCATTCAGACAATCTCCCTCCTTATCTCTGCTAACTAAAAATCTAAGCTAAAATCCTGCCTTCGATTGTAGACCTGTCCCAATCCCTCTTAATTTTACTACTTTCCTTCAGTGAACATTTATTAAGCACCTACTAGGTGCCTGGCTGTTGTACTAAAGCTGGGGATAACAAAAGGAGATAAAAGATAGTTCCTGCCCTTAAGGAGTTTACAATCTAAAGGAAACTTCCCTCTGTTGATTGTTGTGGTTGTTCCAACTCTTTGTGACTCCATTTGGGTTTTTTTTGGCAGAGATACTAGAGTGGTTTGCCATTTCCTTCTCCAGCTCATTTTACAGATGAGGAAACTGAGGCAAATAGGGTTAAGTGACTTGCCCAGGGTCACACAGCTAGAAGTGTCTGAGGCCAGATTTGAACTCAGAAAGATGAGTTTTCCTGCTTCCAGGCCCAATACTCTGTTCTAGCTACCTTCCTCTGTTAATTATTTCCTAATTATTGTGTATATAGCTTGTTTGTAGTCATTTGTTGTCTCTCTGGTGAGATTGTGAGCACCTTGAGGCCAGGGACTATCTTTTGCTTTTCTTTGTATCCCTAGTGCTTAACATAACTAAGCATAGCATAAGCATAGCACTTAATAAATGTTTACTGACTGAGACTTTGGGGGTAAGGAACACATGATATTTCTGAGGTGCTATCTGGTAGATGGGATTAGATGTGTTCTGCTCTTCCTCAGAAGAAGCAATGAGGGGAAGGTAAAGAGAGGTTTGATACAAGGAAAAACTTGCTAATAATTATAGCTGTCCTAAAGTGAAATCCTCTGCTTTAGAAGGTGGTGGGTTCTACCTCCAAGGTTCATGAAGAACCAGCTAGATTTGAACTCAGTGACTCCAGGACCAGCACTCTCCACTGCCCCACCCAGCTGTAGCAGAGGATTCCTCTACAATTGTAGGAGAGGAAAAAGAATAGTTGAGGGGGGAAAGGCTATATCAGAATTTAATGGAATGAGTAGCAAATGTTAAAACTGGAACAATACCAATGGGAGTTAGGAATGGATGACACTACTTCGGGGATACAGCACAAGAGTGCCATGAGAAAAAGAGAGGTGCTCTTCGCAGGATCACGATTCACTAGGTAGCCTTGCCCAGGAAAGGAATGGAGATTGATTGCTTTTCTTCATTTTATCTTTAATAATTCTAGCTGTGTAGGTATTGATGAAGTATTAAAAAGCCTAGAGGAAGGCTTCCAGTACCAATTAGCTCCTTTATACGGCTGCCTATGGAATTTCAAGGCAGCTAGGTGGCTCAGTGGAGAGATTTTGTGGGGTTGGAGGCAGGAAGACCTGAGTTCAAATTTGACCTTGGACACTTACTAGCTGTGTGACCCTGGGCAAGTCACATGGCCTCTGTTTGCCAGAGAAGGAAATGGCAAACCACTCCAGCATCTTTGCCAAGAAAACCCCATGGTCTACAGGTAGGAAGAGTCTGACAGGACTGAATGACTAAACAATGACAACAACATGAAATTCCAGAGACAAGAACTGCATAATGTGAGTTGGTACAGGAGAGTTTCAATCTGGAGAGAATACCTACATCAATAAAGTCCAGGTCAAGTGTGGCAAAATGAAAACGGTGCTGGATTTGGATTGAGAGCTAGATTTGAATCCTGATCCTGTCTTTGCCACTTGCTATTTGAAACATTATTTAATCTCTTTGAGCTAGCTTCCTCATCTTTAAAAAGAGCAAGTTACAAGTTACCTTCTTGAAGGTAGGCAGTTTTTCATTTAGTCTCTATCCCCAGGTTCTGGTACAGGGCTTTGTATATAGTAGGTGTCTATCAAGTGCTTGATTGTTTACACAGATCTCGGCCAGTTTTAAACATCTATTACCCTACAAGATACAAATCCAAGTTGCAGTCTGGCTTCTTCCATTGTATGCTAGTTTCTTAAAAGCACGGCTAGCCAAGGGGAAAGAAATACCCTTGCTAGGACAAATTGCCCGTGGCCCACCGAGGCTTTAATGGGGTCCTGTCCATTTCTCCCTGAGTACCAGTATCTAAAGCTCCCTCCCCTCTCCAGCCATATCTTGGGAGGCCCGTCGTGTACTCTCATCCGACCAGGGAGTCCGCAGGGTAGGGCCTGTGTCCCTTGCATATCACCCAGGGCTCCCCAAAGACCTGGGCCGTGGCTCTTCCTTCACACTGGCGAAAGAAGGCCTGAAGGAAGCATCCCCCATCAGGCTAGGAGCCGGCCCCCGACCGCCTGAGCTGCTCCTTCCTCAGAGTCGCCCCCGCCAGGCCTACAAAAGGCGCAGTAGGAGGCAGCGGCCTGGCCGAGCACAAGAACAGCCAGGCTACCGCGGCGGGAGGGGGTTGGCCACGCCCCGGTGGGGCAAGGGCCTGCCTCCGGGGCCTAAAGGAAGCTCCATCCGGGAGCGCCCGGCTTGTGTCGCGAAGGCACCCCGCGTTGAAGCAACTCCGGGCTCCCCGAGGGTTCTGTGCATTTCCTTCAGCTTCGGCCCTTCAGGTGGGAAGAACAAGCGAGGGGGCAAAGGGGACCCCGGTTTTGGGGGAGCCCCGTACGGCGGCTGCCTGGGGACTAAAAAGTCTCTGAGGGAAAGTTGCAGCCTGAAGCGATTTTTTGACCCCCGACACTTAATAGGCAGCAGAAGACCCGGATGTGTCTGGGGCTGGCTGAGGTACCCATTAACGCGCCCCCGCTAGACCATCCCCCTTTTCCACTTCTTATTGGACAATATGTACATCAATCATCATCAAGTTAGCCACTTACTGGCCGAGGGAGGGATCGAGTTCGGGCATCCTATCGTCCATTGGTATGCTCGAGAAGAGGGGGACAGGACGTTGGGTGCAGGTAGACCAATAGGCGTCGTGGCGTGTGGAGGAGGCGGGGTCGGAGCGCTTGGCAGCTGCCCAATCAGCGTCCTTGTTTGTGTGGTGCCGCCGCCGCCGCCGCCGGTGCCGCCGCCGCTGTCCCTGTCTGTACCGCAGTGTCTGCTCCGCCCGCCAGCCCGCCCCGGCCCGGCTCGGCCCGGCCCGCCCTCTCTTCTCCCCTTCCCCTCTCCCCGGCCCCGAAAGCGGGGGCCTGGAGTCCATACTGCCGCCGCCTTTTCCTTTTTCGCCGCCTCCGTTGCCGCTTGAGGAGACGGACCGAGCCGGGAGTTCCGCCGCCACCGCCAGGTAAGGAGCCGCGGCCTAGGCCAGCCCGCTCGGGGGCGGTGAAGAGGGAGGGGAGGGAGGAAGGGAGGGAGGGAAGCGGAGGAGGGGGAGGGGTAAGGGATAGGTGGATGAGCTGGGGGGAGGGGAAGCGGCCTGGAGCCGACGCCCGACCGCGCGCCCCCGCCTCGCGCCCCCTTTCTCCCACCTCACCTCTGCCTAGCTCCCCCAGTCTCCCGGCCTCGCACCCCCGCTTCCCCGAGCTCCTTCGCCCCACCCCCCCTTTCCGCGCGCCCCCGTCTTTCACTTCATTCCCGCGCGTCCCCGGGCTCGCGCCCCCTCATTCCTTCTTCTCTTACTCCCCCTCCCCCCAACCTCGCGCCCCGTCTCTCCCTCCCCCCTCCCCTGCTTCCCTCGGCGCCTCACGCCCGCCGCTCTCTTCCCCCTTTCCTGCCTCGCGCAGCCCCATTTTCAAAAAAACCTACCTAACCCCAGTTTTTCCCTGGGGAAGGGGGGGGCTCCCCTCCTTTCGGTAGTGTGTGTATGCCGGGTGGATGGAACCGGTAAGGCGCTTTTAAGGGTGAGGGTCCCAGCGAATGGTTTATCTTTGCATTTAGGCAAGGGATTTTCGATCAGGAGAGGCCTCTGCGACCCTTTATTCATCTATATCACCCCCACCCCACCCCAAGCTAGGAGATAATCTGTTACTTATATGCCAGCTAGGCCACCTTTCTGCACAGTAACCCAGGGCCAGGCACTGTGGGTCTCCACCCTTCCCATTCTCTTACCGTCCCCCACTCTTCCCCTTCCCCCCCCCAAAAAAGGCAACCTGGATCTTTATAGTACTTTTTCGTTACCCGTTCTCAATTACACATATACCATGTAATTGTGCACCCGTGGATGAGCATAGGTACCTTCTCCTGTCTTACCGTGGGGCAGCCCTCCTTTTTCCCTGGAGGTGCTGTAGCCTTTTGATCTCCCTCAGATACCAACTTCTCTCCAACCACAAGATGTCAGCTCTTAGGACTGGCACTGAGGTGAGGATGGAGGCGTTGATGGTGGGTGGCATGTGGAGGCTAGCTAAGCCATCCGCTTTTTCCTCTGCTGTCATCTCTGGGGAACCAGACAGCCTCCTGAAAACTGGCTTCCTGTCTTGCAGTAGAGGATTTTTTCATTCTTTTTCTTTGAGGGAGCCTGACTGGTTGTGGAACAACCTGAAGCAGAGGAGAAGACTAGTGTGCTGAGGGGGAAATGTACAGGAGGGATCTGTAATTGTTGGAGAAAAGTTGTAACACCAGTACACCAGTGTGTTCAGGGAGTGGGGGATTGATGACTTTATTGATAGTAACTAACTGCAAATGACTTCTGACTAAATTTTGACAGAAACAGTGTTTGTATAAGGGAATTGTAGTTAACTTAACTTGGAAGTTTGATCTCGATTTTACTGATATTTTTGATGCTGTGAATCCAGAACTTTTTCCAAGACTTGACATTTATTTGATTTCCTCTTCCTGGTGCTGAACTTGGTCTTGCTTATTGAGGGAGAGCATTGCTTGAAACTAGTACTTCAGTCATCTCAGAGTTGAAAAAGAAGCTGCTTCTGGAGGTGTGCCCCAGAATTGCATTTGAAATAGTTTTGTGTTTTTTTCTCTGTTGTGTGAACACAGGCTACTGCTTGCTGCGTAAGCATTAGTTTAGGGATCAATCAATCAAAAACATTTATTAAGAACTTACTATGTCCTAGGACTGTGCTAAACTTTGGGTAGCACTTCCTTGGACTTTAAAGTGTGAGTAGACAGTGTTGTTGGGAATATTAACCCAAATGGAGACTGTTCAGAATAGAGGATTGGGGCATAGATGTGTGTCAAGACTTATTGTCCAGCGGCAATGATAATACTAGTGATGCCATCTGTTAAGAGTGTAAGCTTCTTGAGGACAGGGTCTGTTTTTGCCTTTCTTTGTATCTCTAGCTTAGCACTTACTAAGTGCTTTATAGATGCTTGTTGACTGACTGCCTGAGGACAGGTGCTGAAGAGCAGGAATCAGAAGGCTGCCACCATGAGCTTAGTGACCCAGTTCCAAAGGAGGGAGGTGAGGTTGATGGACCTTTGCCCTGCTCCAGACCTCTCCTGAAAAACCCAATCTGTAAGGAGAGAGTGACTCAAAGCTGACAACAGCATCCATCTTCATGACACTGTGGTTTATGTGTGGTGTGTGTTAACTTCCTGTTCAGAGCCAGGCTGAATAAAATCTACATTCAAATACTTGCTTGGGAACAATGTTAATCACTCTCCTTGACCAGTGATTTGGACCTGAGCTTTTAGTCTGTACTCAAGGCTCCATTTTGCATAGTTGGGGGGGGGGGTGTGCAGCAGAGAGGTGTGGGGAATTTGCTTTTCTGAACTTCTCAATCTTAAATCACACTTGGAAGCCTGTGTGCATTTTTTTTCCTTTTTGGCAAAGTTCCCGACATTTTTTGCCAGTGGACGGGTTGGGCCTCCAGGTTGGATTTTGGTTCAGGAACAGCAGGGCTAGAGAGGTGTTCTTAATAGTGTCAAATACTGGGGCTTCTAGGTTCATCTTGGATGGGGGGTGGGGTGGAGAACAGCCATCTGAGCAGTAGTATTCCAGATGTACACCAGAGAGTTTTGTTTCAATTTACTGATATCCCCTCCCCCCAGCTAGAGGTATATATGTAGGGGAGCAGCAGCTGCGTTGTCCTGGTTTCCAGACTCTGAAGCATATTCCATGTTAGCCACCCCATTGGGAGTCATACTGACAAGAAGTCCCTCTGTTCCCAGGCTCAGAAGGCTCTTGTTGCTTTGGCTCATTGAGAAAAGCCAAACCAGCTTTGGTTGATTATATCAACCACTGGAGAAATATTGAGACTTGAGCCATAACTAAGACTGAGGAGATTTTTTTTTTCAGGCCCTTTGCAAGTACTTAAAGCCCTACATCATTCCATATCAAGGCACAATAGCCAAACCTTTTCTGAGACGGTTTGGAGGGAAAGGAAAAAAATGAGACACACACCCAGATTGACTATAAATCTAGTCCCAGAGTAAAGCTGTCCACCTCTTACTCGGGAAAAATCCAACCTATCAGACAATGCCACACGAAGTTGCAGTTCCTCAGCTTTGGCTAAGCCCGGGAAAACATGCATAAGGAAGTTTTGCCCCTGTCTGCAAGAACTGACTTTTGCAGAGAAAGCATCTGTGGATTATATCATGAGACAGTTCTTTAGGCTTTGATTTCACCCCCAGTTTATTCTCCGTGATGTTTTCATGTGTTTTGCTGTTGTGTTTTAATGACTTCTAAAATCCATGGAGCAAGTAGTTTCTCACTTTGGTCTAGGGGATAATGAGCTGCAAAAGAATTAGGTGTGCTCTTGAATTGCTATCTCCTCTTTTTCTTTTCTTTGCCTTCCATCCCTATCATAAAAATATTCCTACTTAAACTGGATTCATCTGATAGGAGACTTGAGGGGCTCTGTGTGTGTGTGTGTGTGTGTGTGTGTGTGTGTGTGTGTGTGTTTCATCTTTCTAAGATCTGTTTCCTAGTGCTGTCTCAATAATATCCTGATCCTTTGCTTCCCACTCCTGCCTGCATCCCAAAAAAAGAATTCTCTAATTCTTATCATTATTCTAGTCTTTTTCACCTGTTAGCTTATTAGAAGTTTCCATCTCAGTATTCCTTAGACCTTAGTGGAGTCTGAAATTCAGTCAACACCACATGATTTAATGCTTTTAAGGGGTTGAACGGCTAAATCCTAAATCCTGAGGAAACTTGGTAACTATGGAAGCTTCTGTAACATTTGGCAAGCAGTAACTGAGAAGACCATGGAAGCAATGGATAGTACTATCTTCCCAACCCATTTCTTTACTTTTCTTCAGGCTGGCTGATTGGTCACTAGCTAGAATTCCATAGATTTTGATTCTGTTTGAGTAACTGTTGTATAGGCTACCTCTGATTAGGTTGCTTGAACAAGAATGCTTTTAGCCCTTTAACCAAACCTTGTTGATTCCTACTTTTTTTTTTTTTTTAAGAGAAAGTAGAACTTGTAGTCTCCAAGGAAATGGGCTAAAATTGCCTCTGGATTTAGGTTAGACATTAGGATTATTTAAGATATAATAGGTTGGAATAGTTAACGAGGGAGGTTGTAGGAACCCTTAAACAGGACATATTTAGGAAGAAGATAGTTGGCTATTTTTTACTGGGTTTATATGCAGCATATGGTGGAATTATGGAGAGACTTAGTATATAATTGTTCAGCCTGATATATTGAGATATATTAGTGTGTCTTGATGAATTCTCCTTCATATTTTGCATTAAACTGAATTTTTTCCTCAAATCTGACCATAGCTCCTGCTCTTCATAATTGATCAAATAATTAAATGCCTTTTATGTGCTAGGTGCTGGTGATACAAAGATAAAAATGAAATAGTCCCTGCCCTTAAGGAACTTACATTCTATTGGAAGAGATGACATAAATATAATTTAGCATATATAAAATAAATACAAGGTAATTTGGGGAGAGGAGGAAAGATACTAGCAGTTGAGGTGATTGAGAAGGTTTCATGTAGAAGGTAGCACTTGATTTGAGTTTTGAAGGAACCTAGGGTTTTTAAGAAGCAAAGGTGAGAAGGAAGTACATTTCTAGGCATAAGGGACAGAGAGTCCATTCAAGGTAGTGGAGACCAGTGATGGCCTAGGAAAATAATGAGGGGGTGGAGAAATGAGAAATATTTTTTTGGATGAACAGTAGGTTTTGGAGGAATGAGGCATAGAGAGATAATAGGTTATGATGAGATAAAGGATTTCAGAGTTCTTGATCATAAAAATAGAATACTTGTGGGTGATTATGAGATCAAGACTGTGACCATTCCAGTTTCTGGCTGAGGTGCAGTAAAGAAGCATAGATAAGTAAGGCTCCTATTAGCTTCTTCCTCTTTTTAGTCCTCTTTTTCTCTTTTCCCTTAATTTCTCCCTTCATCACAGCCGTGGGCACTCTTTTTAAGGGCCTC